GCAGGGGCCTCTTCAAAGTTCAGGGAACCCATACTGCGTTGGTGGTTTGGGGATTTGAACCCCTTGGTGATTGCAAGATGGTCTTCCAAAGCCTCTTCGATGCGGACGGTTGCCCCCTTTACCTCATTGCAGGTGGCAACGCTTCGGCTACACGAGGAGTAGCTTGGCTCGTCTTCGGATGTGCCCTTGGTGACGGTTCTGGTTTCTGTGTGGCCCTGAAAACGTGTAATTTAAGTTTGGGGGGTGGTTGATGCTGTCCCTCTTGAGCATTAGTTTCCAAGCTTCTTCCTGTCGAAGCAGGGGTTTCCTTGGAGCAGCCTTTGTCCAGGTGGCGCAACTTTGCGCTGTGACCTGGGTATCATATGGACTGGGTTGGCGGTGTGCTCCGTCGGGCTAGGCATCTGAACTTTGGAAGCAGGTGCTTTACTCAACCTGACCATTCCCGTACATCCGGGCCAACATGATGGGAGCCACGGAGCCCAGGAACGTGGACTCTCACTACAAGCCTTGCCCTGGAGAGGAATCCGAACCGTTTTCCAAGGGCAACAAGTTCGCAGAGCCTTGCCTGAGCGATTTTGTTCAGTTCAATTGCCCCGAATTTGCTTCGCTGAATGGAACTGTTGGATAAGCCTGGCGCTCTTAGTGTGCTCAGGGTTTATTTTACAAGTACCTGCAGAAGCAACGAAGGACGGGACCTGGGAAGAGCCCTCACGGTTGCAAGTGCGGTTAAGTATGCCAGGCATTTTGTTTCAGCTCGCAAGCACGCTCCGTGCGCAATTAATCCACTTGTGTGAGAAGATGTGGCATCACCTGGAAAGATGGCGTTTTTGGGTTTGCAGTCTCCGCAGGTTTGCCCGGGCACTTCTGACTTTCAGCAGCCTAGTTGAAGGGCTCGTCTTCGGTGAAAGCCTTTCGGCCTAAGGACTGGCGGCTGCACTGGGAGCCGAAGTACAAGCCCCGCCTGGGCAACGTGACCCTGATGGGCCAGAAAATGGCAAACCAGGAGCCGCATGCAGAATGGGCTTCAAAACCCATGGCGCTCGTAGCAACTGTAATTTGTTGAGGATGCCACTGAGGCAAGCGTGACGTTTAGTAGGTGGAGCCGTTCCTGCCTTGCCAGGGAAAGTTGCCGTTCAGACATGTTTTAAGCAGAGGCTGGCCGCTGGCAACGACCAGAGGGTTGTGGCTGAACTGCTCCAGGCGCCCTTCAACTTGGCATATGGCTACAACCGCATCGTCACTTGGAAGGGAGTCAAGGGCAAAAGGCCAATGGCAGAGGACGGGCTATTCATGGGACCGGGGTGTGGTTGTTGTTTGATTATTGTGCGGTTTGTTTGAGCAGAGTGAATAGTTGTTTGAAGGCATGTGGCTTGTTTAAGCAGAGTGGTTTGCAGTTTGATTGTACTGAAGGCACGTGGCACAGCAGAATGGCTTTTCGTTCTGAGAGTTCTTTTAGGCGTTTCTGTCTTGGGGGCTGATTGGCCTTGGTGCCTTTCTTCTCCATTTACGTTGACCCCATCGCTGAACATTTGCCGGGCCTATCTTGAACTTCCATGGCCTTTTCCAAGGCGTACAAGCAGTACGACAGCACGACGCATGCAAAGGCTCAGATCAAAGAGAGGCAGGTCCGAGTAAGTGGAAAGTGGAAGCGGGGCTAGCTGGGGCGCGGGCATTTGACCGCCGGAAAGTTGAGTTGGCTTGTGGACAGTCACAGGGTCTCTCTCGAGCGCGTAAGTCTACATGTTTAACGAACAACATGCCGAAGCAATGTGGTGCAAAGTGTAAAACGGCATACCGTATACCGTAATTACCGGGGTCCACAATTCCGGGCTTTGTTCAGCAAAGCAGATGCGAGTAGTTGTTTTTTGAGGTTTCAGATGTTTCGCATTCATGTCCCGCCAGGCTGGGGGACAGCTGGAACATTGTGGCGAGATGGACTTTGGTGCAAGGGGCGGCGTCAATGTACGACGAGGCTTCGGGCTGGAAGCAGTGCAGTATCCCAGAGCTCAGCCACAGGAACATGGGCAGGAACTTGGCACGATACTTAAATGCCTGCACACCACAAGGTTTGAGTTTGGGCTAATTCCGGTAGATGTTCCTGTGGCTGGTGTCAGAATCTCTTAGCCAATTGGTAATGGTATGTTGGAAAATCGTAGCCAATGGGGCTTGGTCAAGGCCGCAGATTCCTCACAAAAGAGCCAAATCAGGAGCCGGCAAAGGCCATATTCAGTTTGACTATCCTCAGATGGCCAGGATCCCATGATGCTGGTGCAAGATTCTGCGACACAGAAGTGCGTCGTTGCCTTTGCTGGCATCAACAACTATGGCACCTTGGGCAGGTCTTCTGTTGGTTCGGTTTGGCATGACCTCTTAAAGACAGGTTATGAGTACGGGTTTGTGAAGCCACGGCTCTCACAGATTTGCATGTCCTGCCTCACTGATCGCCCCATTGCTTTGATGACACCGACTCGCAGTGACTCCTTAGGCAATGAGTTGGCTACTGCCACGGACGTGCGGACGGATGACTTCTGCGGCTTTAAGGGGGTGCACGCAGGGTACCGGGACGAGCTGATGAGGCGCGTCTTTTTGGGGAAGGGACCGGTCGGGCAGGGCCGGATGGAGTTCAGTGAAACTGTAGATCACGAACATCGTGCCACAGTGCGGAAAGATGGGCAGACCATGTCGAAAGGCTTCTTGGCTGCCGAAAGTCGGGAGTTTCAAGGACATGAAGCATCAGACCGTCGAATGCTGGCCATGGTTGGCCCGTTGGCCCCAGATGTCTCTGCTGTGCCGATGGAACAGCGCAGTTGTGCATCCCGCGCCAGGATCGTGAAGACAGTATGGCCGAAGGTGCAGCCCTTGATGGGCAAGTGCAGGCAGGGCCCCTCATTGAGATCCGTTCAGGCGGGGAGGCTCATTCCATGTTTCTCCTGAACAACTGGTGGTGACTGCAATGTGAAGTCTTTGCTTGCTCAGTCTGGAGGTTCAAGTCTCAAGCAATATTGTAACATTGTATTTGGCTTCTTATGCACTGGTGTGTGTCTACTGTAGCCGGGAATGGCGTCACGCTTGCCTAAGCAGCTTTGAACCAATGCAATGGGGCCCAACAATAGCACGCGCTACTGGTCACATGAACCATGATCACGTGGTGTGCATCGTTTGTGGTTTCACTACTTTGCTTTGATTGACTATGTGTTGCTCTTGGCTGGAGTGTTCAACGGATGCTGTTGGGTGTGCTAGACTTGGTGATGGGCTGTCCCCACAACCACTTAAGTCAACAATTACTTTGTTCTGACCATTTGAGCGACTCTGGGCGTGATGTTCCACAATCTTAAGTGAGCAGATCAGCTTGCATTTGGTTGTGCCATTGCTGTCTTGGTCCAGTACGTCCTACTTTGTTGGCTGCTTTCTATCATTTGTTTTTGCCGGCGCGTGCTGCAGCCCAAGCTATTGCCCGACGGAAAGTTTATACCACACCCTTGGATTTGTTACCGGCTTTTGTTGATTTGCAGTGCCTTCTCCGGATTCAGCCGACTCGTGGCCACGAATTGTAAGTTACTGGGAACCCCCTCAGCAGTGCTTAGAGGACATCAATCCCCACCTAAACTTTGTTGCAACCGTTTGCCAACTAATGGGTTTTTCCATTAAACCACTAAAAGTTAAACTTTTAGCAGGGGAGCAGAAAGCAACCGAGTAAAGGATGTCCATCCTTTTGGTCCCTATGTCCCTTTGCTCAGTCACGTGGCCTGCACCGGCCATTCCATGGGCGGCTCCTTGTGCGACCTCTTCTCCGCCTGCGCCAACAGCGGCCGCGGCTCGGTGCAGTTGGCTCGGTGGGCGTTGTTTGCGGTTGGCGGATGCTGGCAGGCCGTAACCCTCTTGGTGTTTTTTTTTCATTCGTTTTAGGCCCACAAACTCAGGTACTGGGCCAATCCCATGCTCGCTGCTTGCCCCACATGCTTGCACCAGGGTCTTAATGGAATGGAGGTGCTGTGGAAATCGTATAGGGTGTGAAGGGCGGATGCCGTATTTCGTGCAGGTCAGATAGTTACAGCTTTGATTTAAAACAATACAATAACTGACATATGTTTCTGTTTGGGCAACTAGGTATGCATTCTTAGTTTTGCCTGCTGTGAGATTCCCACCTCCTGGCTGGCTCAGCCAGCAAAAAGAGGCCACTGCAATCAGATCCTTGATGGGCCTCTGCTTGGCCACCAAGTTAGGCTGATGGTCAAGCGCTGAGGCGTTGAGGATCCAGATTTCAAGGCCATTTCCTGGATCAAGGACTGCTCGACAGTCGACGCACATTGAAGCACTGGCCCGTGCATGAGAAACTGAGGAAGGCGAGCAGGGGGCCCAAACAGATAGAAGATTAAGTCTGAGTATGTTCATGGATGTTACATGTGGTTCGGACATGTACTGCCCAATGTTGATCTGCTAAAACCACCCTGCCTGAAGTGAGTAGCGCGCTGCATTTGTTTGGAGATCGGCGCTAGGATCGCAGTTAGCCAGCTTCTTCGTTCTTCCGTGTGGGGGAGGGCAGCGCGGGGAAGTGTCCAATGGCAAGTACCTTGTGAAGATGTACTTTGACCCCCTTTGGGTTTTTCAAGTACATCATTTAGAAGGTACTTGGACCCTCTGGGTTGCTAAACCAGGCCTTTTTCCACCTTTTCTTTTTTCCACGTTTTCATTTTATGTCCATGTCCCAACAAGTAACTTGGCTGGTAGCTCTGGGGTGCTTGACTCACGAAGCTTAAGCCAGGAGACGCCCGCTGCCTTGCCGGAGATTTCCGACTGCGGTGGCGCGCACTACGAGGAGGACGCTGAGCATCGCTGCGAGTGCCCGCCTTGTCCGAAGTGTCGCTTGGCAAACATGGCTGGTCTCAAGGGTGTGGCCGGATCCCACCAAAAGGACCCTTTGCCAAACCGTTGGCTTTTCCATTAAGCCTACAAAAAGCGAGACCTTCTGCTCAGGGCGGAAGAGCAACCCACAGAAAGGTCCCGTTTTTATTACTCACATGACCCCCCAAAGCATGATACATCGTGAAGCTTTAACAGGTCAGCACAGGCTGAAATTAGGTTTTGGGGTTGCTCAAGCTCGTCGCGGCGGACGGGCCGACTGTTGCTAAACGGCACACCTTGTCGGGTTCTGAGTCGGGTTGTGGAGTGTATTTCTGCCAAAGTGGACGAGTGCTGAACGCCACTGACGGGTCTGAGAGGATTCTTGCCGAAAGCATGTGTCCTGTTTAAGTTTCGGTTGCAGATTTGATGTATTGCTTTGTATTCAGACCATGAGATGCATCAGAGGCTCTTTTGACCCTGATCGAGGAAAGATGGCTAGATCGTGATCAGAAGTCGGTGGAAGCTAAGGAGCAGGGTGCCATTGAGCGTGAGGTACAAAGCTTTGGAATAGTACAGTCGCGCCAAGTACAGAAATTGCGCAAGTTGGTTGTCTTTTTTTGGGGGAGGGCGCTCCTGAGAGATGATCCTGGTGTTGGTGACCTCTGGGATCTGGGATTTCCGGACTTAGCCCAATACAACTGGCCAAGGGTTTGATTTTGCCTGCAGTCTCAGCTCTTCCTATGCAATCGGAAATTTAGTTGGGCCGAAGGGGTCAGAACAACCAACTTTGGAGCAGGAAGTTTTACTTGCCGCATACGGATCGTGAGTGTGCGCCTCAAGACTTACGGCCACCTGTGCCTGAGATGGGGGCTGACCAGTGCGGCCCAAAGCTGCACCCGGCAGCTGCCGAGTGGCGCAAGCAGGGGGTGATTTGGTACACAGCGCAGTTACAGCTTGGTTTGGTGGGCAGACAAGCCAAAGACGCCCGAGAGAAATGAATATGTAAGTTCCTTGCTTGCAAGCCCGTACATTCTACAGGCCATGCTTACGTGATTGGTCTGCTTTCAAGGGCAGGGCCGACTTCCCGTTGGCACCTCTCCTAGACTGGAGCGGGACGCTGTCAGATTGCGGCCTTTGCGAGCAACCTCAGATGTTGAACCAGTTTCACCCAGTTTTCCACTGGATGCTTTTGTGGCTGGCACACTTCTGTCGGGGATGGGATGGGGGCGTTCGACCTTTGCAGCTGACATTGTGACGGGGCCTGCGGCCTGCCCCTTTCCATCCTCGGCCGTGAGTCAACATTCCCAAAGGGGAGCCAAGGCGTCGCTTGGAAATGGCCGCTGCACATGCTTGGCAGGAAGTATCTTTCCTTCGGTGACCCTGCAAAGCTGCGAGGTGTCGTTGTACAAATGAGGAGTGTGGTTTTCAATCATCAGCACAGTTCATTAAGCGGGACAAACTGGACGAAACTAAGGCCAACCTCTGGATCGCGCACAAGGGAAATGAGGGACAAACTTGGCAGCTGTTGATGCCAGCCTCACATTCCACAGATTCCTGTCAATTGGAGAAATCTGGTTATTCCAGCTACGGTCGATCGGTATGTTGAGCAATACCGTGTGTTTTGACCAGGGTCTGGAATATTTCTTAAACGTTTGACAGGAATAAGAAATGGTGGTGTCAATCCAGAGTTTTGACCGGATTTCTATTCTTGGTAGATTCAGGCAACAAATTGTTTTGAGTTATTTGAATTGGTAGATTTTCAAGTGAGAGTTCGTTCAAAAAAGAAGCGTGATAACTGATGGAAGACTGCGGGATAAGCTCTGGCATATGGTCCCCGTCGTTGTCCGCAGTCTTCCCGTACCCGTGCCGAGTCCAGATGCGTTTTCTTGGGCCCTTGCAGCGCCCACGCAGTCTCCTGGCAGTCTCCGAAGCAGTCTCCCACGCGTCGTGCGGGTATAAAGGGTCCCCAGACGGCTGGGGCTGTTTATGTTTGTTTGCTGGGGCTCGGATATGAGTAATTATGCTGGTCAGTTTCAGTGGGGTGATGTCTTTTTTATTTCTTGAGCGTTTGAGAGTCTCAAATGATTTATTTCTGGACCTTTTGAGGGTCTGAAATTTGCTGCATAAAAAATATTAACCACTTGTTTGGGAGGCGTTGACTTGTGTCCGCAATGATTGATTGGGCCTTTAGATTCTCGCTTGCTGAACGTGCTCCTTTATGGGCTTGGTTGGGGGAACGCGGCATTGGTCGCAACGCGCACCTAGTTTGACAGGGAGCAGCCGTTCTGTCAGTTCGCTTATTTGCCTGCGCTTAGCCTTTGAGCCTGACGACAGGCCATTGTTGGTTCCCTCCCAAAATGGCGAAGCGGTCGCCTCCTGCCTTATTGATAGCATTGTTTTTAGACGAATCTGGCGCAGCGTTTTTTGGCAACAAGCAGCTGGGTTTATACTTTCTCCCCCTAGGCGCTTCATGCAGCGCTGGCCGTCCTGGGAGGAGGACCCTGGCGATTTCCGGGTCGCACAGAGCAGAGTTTTTGCAACAGTCTCGCGTTGTTCAATTGCAAGCCTGCGGTAGTTCCTGCGACGTTAGTCGTACTGCAACGCTTTAGGACATGGAAACAGGCGATGGGCAGTCTGTCAGCTGCCGTTCCGCCTTGCAAACCCTGGCATTCCTTGCATATCAAGCATTGTAGAGGGGCCTGCCGCCAAAGAAGAAGGGCATCTTTGCGGCAGGACTCAATCCCCGTCCTGCAGCACGGACGGAAGAGAGACTGGTGGGAAGAATCAAGAGGCAGGCCAACAAGTTTTGCACCAACTCGATGTTTGATTGCCACCGGGAAACGGAAGGTCTGATGAGTGAAGCTGCGTGTTATTGCGCTCACGCCCATGGCCCTCAGGTTTATGGACGTGCCTGGCGGTTATGGCTACGGCTTCATCGACTGTGAGGAGACCAAGCTGCGCTTCACGCGCGCGACTTTGCAGCACACTATTTCAGAAGGGCTTGTATCAAGTGGCCCGAGGCAAGGACGCAGACTAGTCCGAAGTAATGAGTGAATCGCGTTGTTTGAAGCCGCATCCCAAAGTTTTGTTTAGATGCTGGAAAAGCAGGCACCCAGATGCAGGCAGTCTTACGCATGTCGAGCATGCAGGTTTCAGGGTTTCAGGCAGCATTCTGCACATTCCGGCATCCATTGTTAGACTGAGAAGGCACACAGGCCTTCCCCGTGGTGTTTGTTCAGTATTTGGTTTGGGCGTTTGGTGAGCGTGAGCCTTGGTCACTGAGGATGTGTATTTGCACAGGAACCAGATGGAGGGTCTTCAGATTGGTGCGGGCCTCATTCGGATATTTGATCCAAACGGCAACCCCAAGCTATCTCTGCTTGATTGCTCCCCCGAATCCAATAGAAGCAACCTAAAATGGGGAACCATCTCCCAACAGGTGATTTCTGCAGAACAAATAGCATTATGTCTTGGGCGGTCTCGCATTGTTTGTTCATGACCTGTTCATGAGTCTTATTTGGGACAGTACAGCAACACCGCCCGCAAAGGCGACACAGACCAACGTTGCATGTGCAGTTGAAGGGTTGTTTTGCTTCTGTGCCTTTGTTTGCCTGCATCATGTTCACGATGGAACGCTGCTACGAGGTGTTTGAGGCTAGGTTGGTGGATGCGGCGAAACTAAGTTCGCATTAACGGTTAATCTGGTTTGGCCATTCATGTGCATGTTGACAAGTGAAGTGTAGGAAATGGCGACTTTGACCAAGGCATGCATTGACTTCAACTTGGGAAGTGTTTGCTACCCACCGACTAACATGGAAGTGCACAAAGCCTCTTTCTTAGAGGAAATTAGTCTGTGCACGTCCGTGGACTCGTCGGTGGGAGGGTACTTTCCTTTGCACAGGTGACGAAGTCAGCTTCAGCCTGATGTTCAATGCCAAGGGGGAGCCTCAGGCGCCGGATGGACTGGTTGGAAGGTTGAACCACTTGGGGCTTGCGAGTCATCGCTTGGGGTACCTTCCCTCAGGGTGAATCTTCTAATTGGTGCAGGTTTTCAACAGGAGGCGGATCTCGTTTTAGGGTCTTCTGGTTGTATTTCTGTTGGGCTTGTATCAGTTGATGTGGCGTAGGGCAATGTCCAATCACGGAAATTGGGCGCTAGCCGGCTCGGAAGATCAAAAAAGGCTGTGTTGGATTCCCCTCAACACATCAACAGCTGTGTGTCTGCTTGTCTATGGCGAGCTCACTGGGGGGTGAAACGGGCTGGCCCCTGGGTGAAAGAGCACAGGACTCTGCGGGCGTGTGCTTTCTTGTGCATTCCTGTGAAGTATTGGAATTCGGCTACCCGATGCATGTAGACTTGCAGAGGCTGTCTACATCTTTGAACCAACACTGACTTGCAGTCACCTTTGGCACTTCACATCTCAATGTCCTGGTTGACTTGCTCACCTCATGACCTCGCTAGTTTGCTTAAGCTTGTTGCCCTTCAAGACAGCCGACTTCATAGATGTGGAGGTTGAGATCTGGCCCTTGGTTGTGTGTTTTGGGTTTTCCGCGAGGATTTGCACATTTTTTGGAATATAGCATCCCTTTGCAAAAGCAGTTTGCCGAACATTTGATTAGATGCCAAACAAATGATAAGGAATCAAATCTAGCCAATATTCTATGTTGGGCTCAAGTTTAATTAGGATGTCATTTCAACAAATATGGCTTAAATTGAAGTTTAACTAGATGTTTGATGTTGACTGGAAGTTGATAAAGTAGAAACTGTCTTCTAATTGGCATGCCCCTTAAAAAGAGTAAAAGCCCAATAGAGACTCAAGGAACATGCAATTTCAGTTCTGTCGCCTTAAAATTGCTTGAGTATACACATTATAATTGAATTCTGCCCTTATTGAGTCCTACTCAAACCCAACAACATATCAGGTTTAGAATAGGTTCTGCTGGAAATCACGTTTAGACTTGTAGACTTAAGCCTCAAGATGTAAGCCTCGCTCCCCCCACCCAAATGAAGTTGCATGTTATCCAAAAAGAAACCTCGAGACAGCAAAACGCAACAACGAAGCAGGATTGCCGGCCCAAGGGAGGGCATAGGGTGCGTCATGTTGTTTATGTTGTTTCTCGAGGTTTCTGATTTTACATCCCAAGCTGCAGAAACACCTCGAGATAAGCAACCAAGACACCAAAAAACAACAGAGTGCGGAGGGCTGGGTAGGGGAGCATGTGGTGTGTCATCGGTTTTTTGTTTTCTCGAAGTTGTGTTTGGGCATTTTGGATTACACTTCCCAACAAACAGTGCAAACAAGTGCACTCACCGGGCCCTATTTTGCCAACAGATCTCCTTGATTCAGGTTTTGGAATTGAGTGTCAACTTTGCAGCTGTTTGCTGAGGCGTCTTGCTTCGTCAATAATGGACATGCAGACGTTTACCCTACCCTGCTGCCTCATGCTGCTTTCTGCTGAAAGAAGCGGTGGGCTTGCAGCTTCGGCTTCTTTGTTTGGGAAAGACCGTCACACCATGTGCTGCAGTTTTTGCTGTCATGTGTTCATCTTGAAGGCTTGCTATCGAACACTTGCTCGTGCGAAGTAGGTCCAGGTAGAAGCGTTGCCATGCGCGGCATATTCGAGCCAACCCCTTCCCTCAACTTTGATTCATCCTGCAGGCATGATGTATCGGTGACAGCCCCGAAGCAGTTCAATTTGTTCGCTCTGCCAAAGGGAACTGAGCTGCATTTTTCGAAGGCTCAACAAAGAACGACTTCTTCACGCACTTGGGGGCGCAAAACATGGTCCCTCACGAGTTAAGAGAGTAAAGAAGTCGGCACGCAAGACCAAAACATGGTCCCTCACGAGTTAAGAGAGTAAAGAAGTCGGCACGCAAGACCTACACCGCAAGGCATTCCTGGGGGATTGTTTTAACCCACGACCATTTACCACTGAGTGAGCCCCTAGATATGTTGGAAACTGCCTCACCTTCCATCGAATATTGAGCCTGCAAAGGTGTTGTTTTTAGAGCTGAAGGCTCCCTCAGTATATGTCACGGGGTTCAACTTTGCGGCCCTGCCACATAGCAGCTGCAGGCCCGCAATGTCATGAAGCTGGAGAACAGCCTGTTGACGCCAGCCGCTGCCGCCCCGGCGGCCGTGATGCCCCAGGCCGAATGCGGGCGTAAGCGACTCATGGAATCTGACGTACTTGTTCTCAAGAGGGATTGAGGGAACGACCCCTGTAAACCATGCCCTGTGGTTCCCTTTGAGGATCCCTGTGAGAGCCAGCAAGCTGAAGGCTTGGCTTCTGGCTCGAAAGGGTTCAGCAAAGAAACACGGGGCAAACGAGGGCCACTTTGGGAAGGCACCTGTCTCTTTGAAGGGAGGCCAGTCTGCTTCTTGGAAGGTATGTGGACGATTGTGGAAGGCGTGTACTGCAGAATAGGCGATAGGGAGCTGAATCGGGTCGAGCCAGGCGTAGAGCCGTAAGCGAATCGTTTTGTGCCCTGCTGGGTGCCTTTCTTTTATGGCGAGCTCTGGGGTTATCCGGTGTTGGACCTCTTGTAAAAAATGCAGACTGCATCATGGCCAAGTGGCAGCCTCCCCAGCTGGCAATGGCCCGCGGACACCGCGAGGACCCCAATCTGATGGACGAGCATCAGGTGGGTACTGAGTGCGTATGCCCCTCACGGAATCTGAGCGCGGATGGCAAGCAAAGGGCCTTGTCTTGTTTTCCATGGCAGGGCAACCAGGTCAGAAAGTGTGTGGATGAGTGTCTTGCCTTGCTTCTTGCTGGAAACTGCAGAATGGAAGGCTCACACAGCGGAATGGGCACAAGCCCTTGTGCACTTGGACATCAATCACGGCAGCCTTGATGATGCGTTTCGGAGCCAAGTCAAGCTATGTCAAACCCAAGCGCACCGTTCAGCTCCGGGCACTGCTGCCATGGAGTCGGTGCCGCTGCTGTGCGACGTTGCCAAGAACGGCACCCAGATGGCCGATGTGCGTTTGCTGAGCAAGCGGTGCGTGGCCAAAAACCACTTGGCAGTTGGGCCGGATGAAGCCCCATGGGATAAACCATGCCAACTGCAGGATTTTGGCTATGGTGAGTGACTTGCTTTTAATCCTTGGTTCTGTCCGTGAGGTCTGGTCAGCTGCTGGAGCTGGGGTTTGATTATGGCATCAACAAGGCGCGCGGGAGACACCACCTGACCAGCCTGAGAGACATCCTGCAAGGGCTTAGTGTGAAGCTTGACCGGGTTGGAATGAGTCACCGCCAGCATCCATTGTCCAGGGTTAAGCCGCAATACCCTTTGCAAGTATTGCTGGCAGTGGCTCGCATGAGCCCTGGCAACATTCTCTAGGCCCTTTGTGCTGGATGGACACTCACTAGTCAAGACTCACACACTGAGCGGGGAGTGAGCGGCCGAAAGCCGAAGTAAAGAAACGCGCTAGTATTCCAAGCGAGTCCATTAGATCCTTGCGCAGGACATTCCATGCAACATTCGTAATGGTAGCTGTCCTTTTGGTGTGCCTTTAAATCCACACGATGAAGGTTGAGACCACCTCCAAGGGCGTTCAGACGGTGGCGGAGAAGGAGCCAATCCGAAGCAGCTTGGCCGGCCGCGGTCGTGAAACGGAGAAGCGGATTTTAGGGATCCAGAAAGTAGGTGCTATCCTGCGGAGCCTCTGTGTGCTTGCGCCAGAATCACCACTGCTAAGTGCTATTTGCGCTCCTTGCTGCTTCAGCATTCGGTGGGTTGAGTGTCCACTATTTGGGAGGCAGGTGAACTTACATGTCTTGAGGCACAGTGAAGCTGCGGGATGCTGCGGGCTGCTGGGTACTTTGATTGTCTTTCATTCCCTGATGTTCACTCCCCTCATCTTCGGAGCTTTGTTTTAGGCCGTTCATTCCAGTGTGTAGCATCCTCAAGGAACCATTGCCAACGGGTTACCCCTTTTGCTTGCGACAAGGTAAGAAGCGCAGCCTGGCTGAAAAGACGGCCGAGAGCTTCGCGCCGGGCGCCTCAGTCGCCGGCGAGTAGGGGATGGATTGGTTGAAACGCCGCAGATTTGGGTGTTCCAAATGGCGGTCCCCCGTAAAATGGTCGGTTTCATCGCGGGTTTTGTTTAAGCACCGAAATTCCAAAAGGGCCCGGTCCTCTTTTGTTTGGACGCGCCTTGTGAAACAAATCATGGCAGTCTCACGTGAAGGTGCGAGGAACGATTCCAGGCCCTGCGATGAAGGTCTCGTACTTGGGCATGACCCTGTTCATATTGAGGGCTTGTGGGACATGCTGCAGAATTTGTTGGGCTGAGCGTGCATCACTCTGCCAGTGGCCTTGACATAAACCAACCAAAACAGTGCACTAGCTAGTTCAATTCCGGGAAAGTTCAAGCGTGATTGATTGAGACATGTTGGTGTTTGCCAAAAGGTCAGCCTTTGCGATGCCTGACTGGTAGTTTTGCAGGTCAACGGAAAAGGGCTCTGGTCTGCACATTCTTTGGCGAGCTCACCGTGGTCATTTACTTCGGGATCGCTTATTTCAGGTTGTGAAAATCGTAAAAGCAAATGCAGATTGGTGATTTTCTAATGCAAGGTTGGCTGCACAAAGAGGCTCAAAGAAGAAGAGCTGGCATTTTAATGGGGCTGTTTGCTATGGACACGGGACCCCCAATCCCAATAGTATTTTGACGACTAACACAAGGCATTTTCAGGGGTCCCCTCTTTTCGGGGCTGACAGCAATCGGAAATGACCCCGCCTTTGCTATTTGCCTTCCTTCCCGCAGTCAGGCTCATCAAAGTGCCTTGCCCTCCCAAAAGCAATTGTGGAACCGGAAGGGGACTCCTCGCGAAGTCATCCTCGTGCCGGAACCTTCAGGTTCCACGTGGATGTGTTTGAGCGTAGGGTATCCGACAGGCCCAGCCAGCCGCCGGCCACCCAAGTGCTGCGCCTGGCCGTGGGGCTTCTGGGCCTTGAGGCACGCCAAGAGCCCGAGGTTTTCGGGCGGGTGGGGGCAGACTCATAGGTTGATACCAAGAAAGTGCCCTTGGCATATGGACTTCGTAGTCCTGCCCTTGGTGTTTGGGAAGCGTGCTTGTTGTGGGCTCCTTCCCGAGACATCCACGCTGCTGACCTCACAAACGCATGGCAAAAGCAAAGGCCGGCAACGCGATGCCGCTTCAATCTTTGACGACCTCCTCTTTTGAGCACTTCGCGAGGGGGAGCTTCAGAAGGAGATCTTCTCAACATCTGAAGCACTTGCCATGACGACTTGCAATATTTGATGGCTGCCGTCAGTTGGGCGGGGTGCGCTCAAGAACACGGCGTGATTGACCAGATTGCGCTTCCTGTCAAGGGGCACGCCATCAAAGGACGTTGTTTTTGGGCCATAGAGCGCACACAAAGGTTTAAGTGTTGCGTTGGCGATCTTCCATTGGAAGACGTTCATCGCGCATACTTGCTCTTGGAATACCTAGATATGTCATATATACGTAAAGTTGGCTTTGGAGGCTCCAGCCAGGCAAGAAGCTTGCTTGATCTCGCCTGATATTTCACCTGCTGGAACAATTAAAGATTGAGATGCGTTGCTCGTAAGGATCTGCACGCTGCGCACGCCACTGTTTGAAATGTGTTTGGTGAACTTGTCTTCAAACCACGCTATGCCTGCGTGGGCAGCGCTTGTGATTTGATTTGCTTCCCGCCTAGAGCCTAGACAACTGGTTCCCCTGTTCGCTTCAGCTGGGTCGACAAGAAGGAAGCTGACATGTTTGTTCTGCATGTTCGGCCGACTTGGTGCGCGACGCCTCGGTGCTCCAGATTGGTCGCTCTTGTTTGCATGCGGCAAATGGTTCAGCAGCATTCTGCCATGACAATTGTAGGTGTCATGTCATGGGGGCTGGGCCCCCCCCCCTAGCCCCCATGATCATGTATGATCATGTGCTCAGATTTGACTCATAGCGACTCATACCCACAACTACGACGCTGATCCGCATCTGCGCCAAGCAGGTCCACGAGAAGCCCAACACCTGGGCGGAGGTTTGGCTCAGCTTCCAGGTCCCTGGGCTTTGGCACACGGAGGGGCTGAGTGCGGTGCCACTGGACTCACCTGGTCAAAGACAGCGGGAGATGTGTTTTCGAAGCCCACCTCTTGGTGACTTGAGGCTGGCAAAATCATGAGCCTAGGGATCTGGGTCCTGAAGATTGTGCACGTGAACTGGAACTCGGGGGTTCATGTTATCCCTTTTGCTTTTAGGAGCGGGGGCGCTCAATGGCTGTCCTTGAAGAATCCGTTCTTGCCTTGAATTTCAGACAGAAGGATGTGAATGCTGCATTGGGACAGGTCTCCGATTGACGCGCTTTCTTGCCTTAGAGAGTCTCAACCCGTTTCAGGACTCCGCTCATCATCAGCTTGGTCTTAGCTCGAGCCACTCGGCAGAGTCGGCTGCGGCGTCAGATTGTTTCGCCGCTTCGGCACAGAGGCTTCCCCTTTTGTGGCTGATTGGTCGCTGTTAGAATGACGTATTTTTCAGGTGCATGGTTCTGGCAACAAACGCCGATCATGTTGCTGATGCTTTCGCAAGGCGCAAGCATTTCAACCCTCAGGTAAGTTGTCACCAGACCCAGAGAAGAAGAAGGCGCAGGCAGATTGGCAGCAGCAGGCTGGACACCCACCTCTGGAGAGTTGAGTGCTTAGCATTAAGACAGTGTATCCCAGCAGGATACAAAATCGGGCCAGTTTAAGAAGTCACTTTTACTGGCTGAGTTTGAGGATCCCTTTGTGAAACAGCCAGTTGTTCGAATGGTTCACTCCAGGAACCCTGATTCAGATAACATGTTGGGACGAATTGGGAGGGCTTGGCCAACCACTATCCCGGAGCCTACGCTACATGTGCCGATCCAGGCTAGCCGTGAAGCGGGGTTCTCGACGAGGGTAAGAGGGTGACAATGGATGGTGATGCTCGCATTCGTTTCCATTGGGGCTTTTGGGCCCCTGCAGGTGCTGTCCCACCTGCGGGAGCTGGCATCGGCGGAAGGCTTGGAGGATCAGCTGGATCTGGCCGAGTTCGCGTTGAAGCGCATCACGCACTCGGTGAATGTGCTGGAGGCCGGCGGAAGAAGCCGCCGGAGAATATGTGGCCATGTGCGGCCGGGCACGCAAGGATGCAGCAAGCTTGTCGAGAGCACCAGCGAACAACTCACACAGAGAGATGTCGGTGTTTACTAGTTTGTTTGTATGTGTTTGCTTGTTCAGCCTACATGCTGAAAGACGCCAGGATCCGGAGCGCTTCTGCCGACCTATGCCACTTGACCATGGGCCGAACGCTTGGGACTTTAGGGAGCTCGCAAACTTCAGAGCCAGTTTAAGAGATTGGGCTTGGCAGATTCAGTAGTGACGTGCTATGACAGCATCTATATCAGGCCAATTCCCCTGCGAAAATAAGCAGACTCAATGAGGTTTAAAAGCGACACACTAGGCAAGATAGTTGAAGCGCTCTCTTCCAGCGGGCTAGAGCCGTTTGCCCTCACAAGCTGCTGCTTGGTTCCGCTTTGCTGGAATTTGCAATTTAAAAAGCTAGTTGTTCGTGCACGTGGACGGGAACACCACGTGCACAACATTTCGCGTGCTCCATGCTAATAGCTCCTTTGGAGAAGATGGAGCACAGTGTTGAGGGAAATTTGCGAGGCGTGTTTTGACAGCAGTCCTTGCATGAATTTTTAATTTCGGTTGCAGATTTGGCAGTCAAAATCCTGGGGGGCTGGTTGGTGCTCAAAATGGCCTGGTAGGCGCCTTGAGAGTATAGTTGGCGTGCAGCCGGCCATGTGAAAGGCCAGTATTCCTAGACTCGGCTGGTTGAGCCAATTGGGTGCCGACATTAAGCTGCAGTTTCTACAGCAGCAAATGTAATACAGAGATGAACAGGTGCTGTATTTTGTATATGTTCATGTTGCCACTCAATGTTTGCCACTGAACTATGCCCTGCAGAAAGGCAGTTTGCCGGACACCACCTCGAAAGCACGGACTGATCATCTTGGCACTTGGCTGGCATAGGGTTGGGAAGAGGCCCACGGCTTGTTCACTGTTTCGCCAGGGCGCATCACGGTCTATTGGCCGAAGAGGGGGGGCACAAGCCAACTGCCCTGAAGGGCAACTGTGCCAAGCTTTTGGACTGAGTTGGCTGCTGTTTTTGAGCCTCCAGGTTTCCGACTGTGAGAGCGAACTGCGCATGACATTGCCATCCGCTGTAGGCTGGTGAAGGACTACTCCAATGCCATGGCCACCGAAGTTTGCAACGACCTGCGGCAATGGCTGGAGCAGCAGCTTGGCACCTGGATAAGCACCGCCTGAGCCATTTGAACATGAGTTTCCTTTTGGTGGGGCGATGTCTAAAGGGGAAATGAAGGGATGCCTATTGATGAACCCCAAGCCTCTTTGGAGAAGGCTTACATATATATATATACACGTGCGTCTTGTGTGAAGGTCCTAAAAAGACTCGAGTTAAGCATGTTAACTTAGCAGGGTAGCTCAGAAGGGAGTTTGAGTTTAGGGATATGCTTCCATCGCCGTAATCACATTACTGTCAGTTGCGCTTGAGCCGGGAATCCGACAGTCCCACGCAGTTTTTGGAGCGTAGAAAATGAAGTTGTTGCTTTCGCGCCTAGGTCGCAGCTTATAGGCGAAAAGGAAAGTACGCGAAGTCCTGCCGTGGCGATTTAGTAAGTCAGCATGGAAACAGTTTCAGGGCAGATGGCCTGCCCACTTTTTCCAAGCAAAAGGCAGGAAGTGGTCATGGGGGAAGACACTGAGGTTGGCCAAGCTACTATCCTTCTACCACATTTTCATTTTAGACCTTGAGCACGAGAAGGGTCGCTTGCTGTCCAAGCTGCAAGCTGTGGAAACCAAGCAGCAGCAGTCGGAGGAGAAGTTCAACTTCGCTAGGGCTTCCTCCAGGGCCTCCATAGCTTTCGTGTTCTCACGGATTCCTCTTGAGAACGAACCATTCAATTCCCTTAACAGAAGCTCGTCGGGGGTCCTTCCCTCATTCCCTACCTATCGAACCAGCAAGATGTCGCCACCACGCCCACGTCTCAGCAGCATGTTGGCCTGGGAAGCTCGACCGGGTTGACGGCCCAGGCACAGATGCTGAACGAGTGAGCCTTCCCAAGGGACAATTGGTGGAATCTTAGATTTTTGTTGGGAATCCTCGGAAAACAAGCCGATGCTTCTGTCCCACCCGATGCTTCTGTTGCGAATCCCGAGCATGGGCCTGTTTCTCGCAAGACCCGCGGTGTGTCCGTTGCGAACCCCATGGGAAATAGGCCAGTTTCTCCCGAGATCCGATCTTCCGCTGGGCATCCCATTAACATGGGCCAGTTTCCCCCCCTGATCCCATGTTCCTGGTGTTTCCCATGGGTTTTTAATGGGTTTCCCATGGGTTTCCCATGGGTTTCCCATGAGCTTCCCATGGGTTTTGCCTTTGGCTTGTGGGGGCAAGCCGGGACTTCTAACTTCAGGGGCTCGATCACCTGGCCAGGAGGCCCGCAGAGCTGCGGTGCAGCGCGCCAAAGTCATCGAGACCCGCTGGAAGGAGCCGAAACGCCATGTCTTGACTGCTATTGGGTTGGATCCTTAGACTTTAACTTTTTGGGAAATCATGGGAAATCAAGGGGTTTTCCACTAACCTCCCCCCCAAAAGAAGGTTAAACTGTTGCAGGTGGGTCAACAGCAACCAAGATATTTGGGCCTATGTTTTTGGAGGGTACCTTGTTAGAGGTTGGTTTCAAGGGAAGCCAAGGAGCCGAATCGAAAACCACCATGCTAAGGGGTCCCCTCTTTTTTTGACACATCCGCAATTCCTATTTTAGTGATTTGCCAGCGTCACCTGTCGGTTGCCAATGTAAAGCGAGTTTCCTTTTGGGGTGATGGAGTTGTGTTTTTCTTTTTCGGGGGCCGGGTGGTGGGCGGGGGGGGGAGGGTCGGGTAGGAAGCAGAGGCAGAGCTCAATTCTAGCTTTCTTCCGCACAGTCAGTCCTGAGGCTGGGGCGGATGAAATAGCAACGTGAACAACTAGAACCATTTCCGCATTTCGCCCCAAACAAGGGTTGCCGTGTTGGGAGGCTATGAATTCAGATTGGTAAAATGAAGCAATTCTAACTCACTCGAGGAGAATGTCACAGTCTTGAGGCTTGCATTTGCGGACATCTGTCCTTTGCTGTTTTTTGCTAGGGGTGAATCGGCATTTGCAGTCAGAAGTTGGATGCCAGCGGTTGAAGCAGCAGGATGCTCTAATATGTTGCGCACGAATCCCCATACTGTAGCGCAGCTGTACCTTTCGCGGCCGTTGCTTTAGTCCTCGAGCGGTACTGTACCCTGTGCCCTAGACTCAATGCACACAAACGGGCTTCTGTTCGTTCCCCCTAGTTACCGGAGCACACAGTTTTGGAGAAGATCGAGTTGCAGGTTCGATACCTTAGCAGAAGCCACAGAGCAAGAAAATACACTGCAGGGTGCTTGGGGAGTTTGGCGGCTGACCCTGTGCCACGCAAGTGGTGTTTTCAGTCTTCCAAGCACGCAGCATACGTCAGGCAGCAACTCGCGTTTTCCCTTTAGTGGCCAGGGGAAGGGTTGGACCTGGGGTTGTCCAGATCTTGGACCATTGCCATGTTTCCCGTAGTTGTTGTCCTGCCTCTTGGAGTATTTCCTTGTCATTTTCTGCCTGGGGTCCAACTGCTTCGGCGGTTGCATTCGCCGCGAGGATGTGAAGATGAAGGCCCGTGCTGAGGCGGTGCTGGGCATCGACCTGGGAGATGAGGACTGGGGAGCTTCTGATGGGGTTCGAACCCCTTTATTCAGGGAACACGTTGGTTTGGATTGGGATTGCCCTAGTTGTTGTGGGTAGGGGTTCCCCCACCTCCAAGCCAAGCCCAACCGCCCGTTTTCGAAGCTGAGTTGGTCTAAGACGTCGCCCACCTAACACTCAACTCGCCTCACATTTTTGCCCCCAAAGAGCCCCTTGGGGTTTCTTCAGTTTACTTTTGCAAGGGCCGAAGTCTGGCAACAAATTGAACGCACGTGGATGAAGCGTGGCAAGAGATAGTCGTATCCAGACATAGGTGCGGATAGCTGACTCTTTGCAGAGTTTTAGGTAGACTTCTGCAATGCCAGGCGTTATTATAGCTCGCTTGAAAACTGAGAAGGCGTTGTAAGGTCTCAGACAAACACCTTAGGCCTTGGCTTTGGAGAGCCTAATGAATTGGTTTTGAGCACTGCTTTGCGCAGAAACACTTTGCGAGGTGGTTCTGCCACTCAATTTGCAAGTGATCATCCGTGCCAAGGACAAGTGACCCATGTTCATGGAGATGGTTACAGTCAGCTGTGCGCATTGCCATGGGTTGAGCAGACAACTGAGCGGCGGTTTTTTTGCCCGCAAGCTAATTTAGTGGGGAGAGGGACATTATTATTGAAAATGTGCGCCGCGCCACACGCGCGGAAGCATGCGGAAGGCTCGCGGAAGGGATTTGTTCGCGGAAGGTTTGCGGAAGCTTGGTGGCTGATATACAACTAAATGTTTCAGTGCGTGCGTGGAAAAGCTCGGAGAAACAATTCCAGTAGAAGAAAAGGTGTTGCTGCGTACAAGAAACGTAACGCTTACTCAAAGAGCAGATGCCAACAGCAAGCCAAGAAGGCCAAAACAGCCGGCGTACTTCGCGGAAGGTTTGCGGAAGCTTCGCGGAAGCTCCGCGGAAGGGTGGCCCCGTGTTTGCAGGCAAGCGGCCACGTAGCATGGGTAGCCCAATGGAGCCCAAGCCTACACAAGCTGCGGAACACTACCTCACTTAAAATGACATTTGTTTCTGCGCCAATGCTCGCGGAAGCAAAACTTGTAAACCATGCCCCGCGGAAGGTTTGCGGAAGCAAACAAAGAAAAACATGTGCCGCGGAAGTTCGCGGAAGGGACCTCTTGGCCCGCGGGAAGGATGCGGAAGGGTCCGCGGAAGCTTGAATAATGTCCAAGCAAGTTTGTAGGGAATAAAAACCAACGCTCAACTGTCCAAATATTCACAACTCTTGCGGTCGGCCAGCTGGTAGCCTCTCTTGCCACTTTCTTTTCATTGACTACCCTGACTTGCCATTAATTTTGCTTGGCCCCTCCAAAAGAGTATTGTAGATGAGCATGCTTTCGACGTTTATAAAGCACGGTGTTTTCTGACCGACCATTCCCGCGGGCACCGTGGGGCATTTGGTCAAGAGCCATTGCCCCATGAAACGGGAGTCTTTCAGAAGGTGACAGGTTTCTCAAGGTGCGATCGTCGAGAACTAGCTAGGGTTTGCATTGCCATAGCGTTTCTTGGCGTCAAATCCTCTTTTGGGCCGTGGGCTTCGCCATTGAAATATGCCTTCGCTGATGAGCCTCTTCAGCTTTTGATCAGCAAACACATTGTGCAACCTATCTATTCCCTCGGTTCTGTTTCTTTCCCTTCGCGGGCCTGCCACTGGGGCGGAAGGCCATGCTCAGGCTTTGGGCATCGAACATGTCTGAGCTTACTGCCTTGCCAGAATAGAACAGGTATAGCAGACAGGATCAACGGCGAGTAGAAAGAGGCAGGGCGCCAGCCCCTTGTTGGATGCATCGCCCATTCCTTCGGCACATCAATATGAAAAGCAGGGATTCGCTCTTGGGCACTCTAGCTGGCGACCCGGAGGACACACAGTGTTTGGGCACTATTTGTTTGGTTTGTTTATGTTTTGATCTTTGGCTGTGTGCCCTGTGTTGCTGCAATTATCTCTGTGTTTGGCAGCTGGATCGCTATCTTTGCGAAGCGCTCTCCCCTCATTGGGGTCCTTGAGGATGAGAAGATCTACAGCCAGCGCGAGGTGGACGAGCTTTTCAGACAGTGGCTACTTGCCTTCCTGGTGCTTCGGGGAAAAACGGGAAGTCGGAACGGAGTTTGATGGGAGGCGCTCACAGTGCCATCGGCTGGAAATGCGTAAGCCTGCATGTTGGAAACAGCCATGCTGTGTGAATTGCCTCAGTCGACCGAAACAGGCTTCCAGATTTGAAACCTGACCACTCACTCCATCCCCACCGCCCAGTTTTCAGCAATTGCTGCCATCACCCACGTTGCTTGGACTCTTGTCAGGCCAAAGGTGCCAGTTGGTGCAAAGCAGTAACGCACAGACCCGGCTGCCCAAGGACTGAAAAGCATTTGAAGCCTCTTATGGACGAACTGGAGGAGAAGCGGAAGGATGCCGAGTGGCGTGCGCAGAGGGACGCACAACGCAGGACCGAAGGTTGGATTGTTTGCTGAAAAGGCCATCAGCCAAAGGGGGTGTTCATGCAATCTGTCCAGCAAAAGCAACTCGGACTTTGGTTTGTCCGCAAAAGTGCACGTGTGTATTTATGTGTATATTGCACTTCTTCTCCAATACGATTTCCGAAATGAGTGGGCAAAACGTCGAGGATTATCCTTCCACTGGTTAATGCTCCACGTGGTCGTTGGGGATGTTGGGGACGGCCGACGGTCGAGAGATTGGGGAATTGTTTCAGCTAAGCCAGCAACAGCACCACTACCAGTTGAGAAAGATGATGAGCGAGGCCATGTAGATGTCTCTCTGAGCTAGCGGTCCCAAGATAGTATCTCCCCTAAGCTACCCACCTCCAAAGATCCACAAGGAAGACCTTACAGCCTTCGAAACTTATTCTGGGAAACCTCGGGGTTTTGAGCTTGGAGTGGGAAAGATCCTATTGCGGGATAAGGGGGCAAACACGATCACGACTAAACCAAAACAAACACAACTTGAAAGCCAGTCTGTTGTTGCCCTCCCACGTGACATGGAACCTGACTGGAGCTTTTGAGCCCCTCCAACAAAAGGCTCCCATCACTTGCGCCCAAGGACATCCAAAGGAACCCCTCCCAATTACTAACAGGTGTACCCGGATCTTGAAGAGCCCCTGTCAGGTGCTATGTTTTCGAGGGTACTGTTAACCCAACGCAGCTTAGGAGAAGCGGCCTTGAGCCGCCAGACATGACCCCAAGGAAGGAGTCCGGGCGAGATCTGTTGCCGGCTCTGGAGGCGCTGGAGGCGCTGGTTGTCAGAGGAAACCAAAGGGAAACCAACCACACGGGATCCCCTTATTTTGACACAGAGGTTTCCTGTTTCAGCTTTTCTCTTTTGTCTGAAAGTTTGCCCCGGAGGTTTGTGGGGAAGTAGTGAACACCCCTGCACTCTTTCTTAGCCTTCAAGCAATTGACGGGCAAACCAAGAAGCAAAGCGTTCGAATGACGAGGCCTCGCGTTACATTAGTGGGAGGGCAGTCAATGTGCAATCGTGGAAGTGGACAAGGGATCTTTCAACACCTGCCTGTGAGCTTTGAGCCATTGAGTTTGGCACCGACATGTTCCAACTCCAAAGCAGGGAGATCAACCCTTCGTGGCCATGCCGGTTCCCGCAGCTGGAAACTTCTATGAACATTGTGTTGTTCGGTCATTGTGAAAAAAAAAACAGCCCAACGCTTGTTTTTGATAAAAAGAGACAACCATTGAACATGCGCAGTCCTCAGCTTTCCTTCTTCAGGTAGCTGCCGACAAGGCACCCCCGGAGCTGGCGAAGCTCTTGCTGCAGGTCAAGGAGCGTCTGCAGGCGGGATGTGCACAGCGCAGCGCTCGATTCCTTTTCACCAGGTCGGATGGTGGTTTACCTGATTTTACGAGGTTTTGGCCATCTCAATAGGTGGTTATGCTAAGCATTTAGTTTTATGGTTGGGTTATGTCAAGGCCTATGTAAATCATAGCCCATCATAGCCCAAAAAGTCGGGGTGTTGGGCGCTGCTCGCATGAGTGCTGATTGTGAATGTGGCCCCTTGGCGGATATCATTTGCATGTGGATTCGCGCCTTGCCAATTTTGACTGGCATCCGCACGAAGTTCATAGCCACGTTTGCGTCTGATGTGCCAAAGTCGAATCCTGGGTAGTTGGGACCTTAGGGGTCTGCTCCCAACAAAAAAAAGCATGTGTCAAAACCTTGGCGAAATGAATTCCGCCTTTCGGAATGTGGGATTTGAATCTTTTGCGATCTTGACAGAGCCGGCCTTAAAGTTTTCCACCTCAAATCTTGTCAGCTGCAGCATTGCTTGCTGGCATCTGCCTGCCGCAATCCTAGCCCGAAAGATAGTTCTGCAAACAACCAGCCACCCACCTCCGGGGTTGAACAATGGTTCACCAAGGGTAGCTCCAAAAGTGGTTGCCCACCTTGGATCCCACCCCAAGCGCAAGTCATCGCAATAGTTCTCCCTCTCTTCCTGAAACCTTCGACGCCAGACTTGGGGTTTGGACTTCGGTTCGAGGGACTTGGCCAGGCGGGCGCTGGTCTCAAGGACCTGCTGCTGGCTCTCCAGGCCCTGCCGTCGCATCAAGCCGCCGGAGCCGGCGGCTCCGGGGGAATCGGCGGAGACGCCGGAGGCGACGCGGAGGGGCTGGAAGTGCTGCAGGGGGCGCTGGCGTGCGCGGCTGCGCAGGCGCATGGGCTTGGGATTGAGGTTGGGGGGTTTGAAGCTTTCTGGGTGGTGGCGTGGGAGGGCGGTGAAAGGGGAAAGGTCTGGAAAGGTTGGAGAAGGAACCTGCAAACGTTGAACAGACAAGAGGGGTTCATGCACTCTGAGGAAAAGAGCTCTGCTGAAGGTTGGGGTTGCCACTCATAAAGCAAAAGAGGGGGAACAACAAAAATGCGGTTTGCACGCATGGCTTATGCCCAAGAAGGTTTGCGAAGCAAGCTAGGCAAGTTGTGTGTTGTAGGTCCTTTGTTGCATTTGGGCGCGACTTTGCACCTTGCACCTTGCAGCGGTGCACCTTGAAACTTTGTGCAGGGAAGACGGACAAAAACCGATGCAGATAGGTGCAGGTGGCCGGGACTCCTGTGTTTGTTTGACGAGAGCTATGTTTTCCATGGTTTTGTGCGACAGCTGTTCCCGGGTGATTTTTGCTGACATGCCAAAACGCAACAGCTATATATATATAGGCGCAGGTACATGCTTGTGTCTCTTGGCGCGCTGTTGTCCAAAGCTGCGGCACAGTCAAAACCCGGGTAGGTGAAGGTTAGTAAGGGGTACTCCCAACCATAAGCTGCGGGCGCCTTCTTAATTGTTTACATGGTTCTGGGTAGGCCATTTTAAT